TATATAAGGCCCAAAAGCCTTTGGACGGCTGTAGAGTTGGACTCTCCGGCCAACCGTTCAGAGTCGTTTGAGCCATCCTATATACAGTTTTATATATATATAACTGTATATTACGAAAGATTTCATTTTAGTGTCATTATGAGCATATTTCCCTTCCTGAAACTTTTGTCTATTTTCATTTTGTATCGCTGTTCATCAACCTATATCACAAATGCGTCGCTGTGAACGCCTTTGTCGTGTTCCTTATCTTTATCTCGAAGTCTATATTTGTTGCTCGCCTTTAAAATCGTTCCAAAAGATGTAGATTGGTGACACTCTTTATCTTTACAACTTTTGTCTGTTTTTGGGTCTCTCGAAATTATCTATAGAAGCGTAAACCTCCATGTAATTTTCTCCTATCCATTCATAGACCCACAAAGCGAATTTACGAACGACATTCCATATCTGCCGCACTTAACCCTGCGGTGTCTATCGGCAAATGGAAAGGTGTTACTAGCCGGTTGAACGTGAGACCGTCGCGCGTTAAAAAGGACCGCGTCGAAGAGTTAGATAACGCGTTTCGACAATCTACAAATAAACAATCAGCTGTGCTACCGCTAAAGCCAATGTTGAAATAATAAAAATTAAAAGACACTGCATGACTGTAGCCCGGGCAGAGTTATTACCAAGTCTGAAAGCGTGATATACCTCCCGTGCCGGTAGAAGCTCAGGCAGTTACACGAAAAGCAGACGGGGGAAAGGTTACGAAAGTTAAAAAGAAAATGTTGACCTTAGGCCATTCGCGTTCTGCTTATATTAACATCAGCGTTGTAAAGAATTCAGTTTGTATGCTTATACTCAAACAAGGCTTCCTCTATTAAAGCAGCAGTGTACGTCCTCATCAACGGGTAATATTCACTATTCCTATATCATTTCAATCTGCTGGTATTCTCAACGGTGTCGTCAAGCAGGTGCGTGACAATAAAGCAACAGCGGAGACGCTCTAGCCAAACGGCACAAATAAGTTTTTTTTGCCAATGAAGAGGGCTGAAAACGAAAGTTCGAGGAACTAGCTAAATTGAAGCACATGGATCCCTTCTTGTTTTTGCTAGAATAAAGATATTTATATTAATAATTTAAAGTAAAAACTAATCGTTAGGAGAGAAAAATCCAGCAAAGCGATTGGGGATTGCCATATCCTAAAGAGAGTCGATTCATTGTGATTATGTTTAGGTTTACGATAGATTGCCGTGCTTTGACGAGCGATGGTGGCGCTGTTGACCTATATAATTTTGTGAGCCTTAAAAAATCGTGTTCAATATTTATCTGATAGGTTTTCCCTTATGATTAAACAATCCAAAAGTACATATGTAGTTAACTGTGGAAGAATACGCTCGACTATTTATCACAAGAACAATTCGGCAACATAATAATAACAAAAATAAAATAGAGCCAACTTGTCGAATTATTGATCATGCAGTCAATGAGCCTATTGTGTTTGTGTCCTGAAGTGGTAATTTTCCTTAATAGGGCTCGATGCCTTTACTCGATACGCTTACCATAATATACAAGTCCGCGCAACAAAATAGCGTGCACCAAAGTAGTTGTTGATAGGCGCATTCGTTCTTAATAAAGAAGTCACGGCTTCCGTATTTGATTTGGCGTATAGCAACCCTATAAAACGATGGAAAGCTCCCCCGTGGACATAAGTCAATGGCCGCTCCCACCGTTGGAATTAAGCGACCGTATATTAGATGGCGATTTTTTCGCTACGTTATACATTAGACTCAAATTGGATTCATTTCGATTGTTCTGCTCTGTACCGCAACAACAATAGCCAAATAGGAACGTCGTTGCTCTGGGCCTTTGATGTTTGAACGGGTCGTTAACAATTTAACAAAATCCAGCTATTCGACTTATGCAAATGGACCATATAAAAATATCGCACGAATAATGCCCATTGACATATTGCGGATCGTAGACCGCCGTCTGTCAGATAACTAAACGGCTACTTTCCTCTCACACGAGTTAATTTATTTACTAAATCAATTGATTACATACCATGGTATTTTAATCGTTGGTTAAACATAACACCATTTCAGATCCGGGCTGTGTCGCCACTTGACTACGAGGCGTTGTCCAGCTATCGACTGGTCGTTCGCGTTCAGGATAGCGGCTCACCTTCAAGGTCGAACACGACCAATGTTCTAATAAACGTACTAGATGTCAACGACAATGACCCACGTTTTTACGCCGCAGAATTTCGAGAGAGTGTCCCCGAGAGCGTTGAAAAGGGCCATAGTATCATCCAGGTATGTTGCGAGCGAAATAGTGAGTAGTGCGTGGAGATCTTGCGGCGCGCGTTTCAATACCTAATTAGTACCCCTTGTGGATCTAAATGTACTTATGTATGCTGCAATAGTACGTTACCGCTAGTATATCAGAGGAGTCACAAAGCCTCATTCACTATCGACCCAACTCAATCCGAAAAAGCTAGTAGTAACACATTTAGTTAGAGCACCGCTCTTCGATGACACCGTGATGCAGGTTGTACTGCTACGTCAGATCGTCCCTTGGATCCAGAAGTGTCGACGTCATCCTGAACTCATAGAAAAACAAAAATATAATTAGTGTGAAGTTTCTTAAATCAATCAACTTGCGTGGGCAGACTAATCTTGTCGGCTATATAATGGACGAAACAACGGTGCAAGTAATCAGTATGGCGGCTATTGCCAATAATATATATGGGGGTATTATATTGGCGTTGGCTTGGTCCTCTTTCGTATTTCATTTTATAGGTGCAAGCATTTGACGCGGATTCTGGAGACAACGCGAAAATCTCATATTCCCTGCAGACAACAGATGGTTCGGATCCATTTCTATTACCAGTTTCTATCGAACCAGATTCTGGATGGGTAAGTGTAGACGTGAGACGCTCATTTCGCCATCTACGGAAGCTGGACTTTATAAATATAGACTATATAAAGAACTTCTTCTTTAGCTGAAAATCAGGTTGACAGCCCCCTATTAGCACAACTGTCCAAACCAGTACACAAGTAAACACCTGTTTTGTATAACAAACGTCTCAAGTAGATTGAAAAGTAAACTTGATTTATGGTTATCATCTAAGTAATATATCGGTCGCGGCTCTCGGTCTTTGTGAGGAAAAGCCGTTTTTGATATGTTTCGAAAATAAGTACTCTAAATACTAGCTCCGTGTCCCGTCGTTAATACGTCTGACACATGAATGCCAGACCGTTTCGGACGGGACAGCAAAAAGTTCACCGTGATCATCGACCCTTGCCTTTAGGGGTTTGACTACGTATGAGCGTTCATCTTGTAAAAGAAGTTCTCAAACAAATATGGCACGAAGAGGTTCTGCACGTTTCGCCTTATACGCCTTCATCGTTACACTATATATCTGATCTAGTCATACTGGTTTAGATATTATCCAGGAAGGCAACTGTAAGACAAAAGGTTTAACCGCACCATTATTCAAATTGCTTCAAACAGGTTTTAGCTAAGCCCGTATTCGTACAACATTTCTCTATAAACGGACTTCTTTTCGTATTTTAACGCTCCTTGCGTTATTAATGTTGTCACCGTGATAGTCCAGAAATAGCGTGTTTGCCTACCAAACTTAGGAACACGTAATGGTCTAGGTTCGAATTCGGGCGGAGATCCATTTTGTTTCACGCTGAGCATCAGCTCTCAAAGCGATGCTTAGCTAAGTCAGTATCGGACGCAAAAACTCAAAATACATCCCTTTAAGTGTATCTGCATCCAGGGTTCCTAAACGCCCGTACTCAGTGTGCACTATAAACGTCTTGCACAACAGATGATCGCTTTCACAGAGAGACCTAGTTGCTTTTACAGAGAACAGTCAAGTCCACCTCTAATCATCCAGTTTTAATATTCATCTCGTCCTCATTATGTGCTCGCAAAAAATCATATAATAGTTATGGACTTGCACCTCTGTGTAGAAATAAGATTATACGAAGATATATATCGTCGCGTGTTCGCAGCGCCTTTGATGAAGACCGGCTCCGAATTCTATAGAAACTAGAATTGGGGACACCGAGCGGATCCACCAGTTTTTGGTAGCGCTCCCTAATTTTCTTCACTTTTTAATTACGGTCATTACCTTCGCTGTCGCCCACTGCCAACTAGGTATGGAAGACACACACATTGATCATGTGGTCTGATAAAACAGGCCAGTCGGGTTCCGCCACTAATTTATAGCCTTAAGCATAGTTCATTTTCTGGTTAAGCCAAATCCGCAGGACACTGTCGAACTGGCGGTGTTCGTTTGATGTCGGTGTCATTTCTGATATTGCGTCCGGAATTTGTGTCTATATCGTGCACCGCACGCTGTAGACGGTGCATAGCACGATGAGAACGTACACGGTACATGAGAAGCTTGAAAAAGACTATGCAGCTGAGAAATGTGCCCGACAAATACGATTAACATTTGAACGCCTCGTTCGACAGGTTTACCAGTGGCGCAGGCTCGCCCAGTTGTAGAAGCGTTGGTACCAGACGATGGCTTCAGCTTATACAGTATAGTATGCGATAATTCCGGCGACGATGATGACCAATGCAAAAAAAAGCCAGTGCTACTTGCTGCAATGGATGTGCAATAATGCATGCGTCAAACGACCCACTCTAGCCGAACTGATAATAACGATATCTTCTCTGACGGGTCAAACACCGCCTGAAGATAGAGCTATAATAAGGGTCGGTCTTGCAGCTCATCTATCTCTTCATATATATGTTTGTGTGTATGTACGAACATACAACAAACTAAATGAATCTGATCGAATCGGGAACGGGCAGCATTTTTCTGCGATCATAACCAGACGTGGATACCTTAAAGCTGCCTAGTAATATTAATCGATTAGACATAATCCCATAAATTAGCAAGAAAAGGGTGAGCAGGCGGGCGAAACGGGGGTACTGCTGATTCTTGTTCTTAAACGGATGAGGAATTCTCTTTTTTTTTTTGTGGGTTATAACATACTATGTTCTATAACATTATGTCTATATGTGTATGTATATGACTCGTTTTGAGCTACAGAATAGAAAAAGAGTGTAGAGGTGTCCGGGTTGGGTAAACGACCGGACGTTCGATGAAGGGAACAGATGAAAACATACGTGAAAAAGGGGCTTATCGTAGACAGCTTCCATTTGCCTGCGTGTTTTAGATGACTCGCTAATACTTCGCTTTACAGAGAATGAATTTCGTTAGTATAGAATAGTTAGTGCTTACAAGGGGGTTAGTAAATCGTTGAAATACGCCAAATCTATAGAAGATATCGACGTGCTTGGTGCGAGCAGATTCTAGTCAAGTTAAGTTTCGAAACAGCAACTATCACTAAATATATTATTTAAGTTCAAGTTCTCCAATCTAGATTTTGTGACTATCACTGCGGAAAAATATAAACGGGGATAAACAAATTGACGCGATTCTAATGAGTTAAATTATGAGACATATGACTGGCTCGTATTGAGATACTGATAGATCGGAAGCTCACAGCGAGACCAGAGAACGATCGAGACTAGACTCTCAAAAATAGCCCTCTTGGGCGAATCTTTAGATCGATAGATAGAATCTGAGAAAAGTTATGCCGAACTGCCCTTCGATCGCGGATATTATGCAGAATTATACAATATCGACACCAGACAACTTAATTGCTATCATTTAGTAACAGCGAATCATCATCGTAACCACCTTTGAAGTTAACAGATTTTTCTATATATCAGTCGTCGTCACGTCACGAAACCTGGCCCATTTTTTTAACACGTACTCTTATAGTCACGTGAGGGGGTCACGTTGTAGCAGTCTAATTAAATACAGGTTAGAGTAACAAAGAGTAATTTTCAAGCGGTCAAGATGCAGACCCACGTTGATTAACAGCTACCATAGGGCGGCCATTGGCGCGTTTGTCTATGGTAGAACGAGCGTCTCACTGTGGAATAAATGCATATACTAATCTCTATTCTGTGATAACATTTCACCTCGACACTGAAGAATATCTTCTTTTCTGTAGAGATTTTTCAGCAAACGTACAGGCATGCGAACAGGAAACGAAGCTGTACGTTGATTTGGGATTATATAGCCAACTGTGAAGCTTTTATCAAGGGAATCCTTTTGCTCTATTTCAAGGATAGTGCCTCGTTTAATGCATTGCTCTCAGGTCGTTTTGCTGATGGGACAGTTTCGTTTAACTATGCCCCAATTACCCAAGGAATAGCTAATTGGTAACACAATAGAAACTGGCTCAAGGTTCGATCAGCGTACTTCTCACCGACAGAAACAAACTACTGATACAATGTTCAAACAATTATTATCGCAAAACCGATTTTGGCTAGCGAATCTTTCTGTCTCTCACATGGGTCCACAGATCATTTTCATCGTATGATTATACTCCTTTTCTCCACTGCTGCTTTCCACTGCTATACCTAGATTAGAAATGACCTAAATGGCTTGTCTAATAAGGACTGGCTTCACATTTGCAGAGCGGCAAATACGAGCGCCAAAAAACGAATATTAACATTATCGTTGTGGGTTAATTTCGTGCTGTTTTGGCTTCTGTAACCCCCTACATGCCTGGCAACATAACCTTATATAGGTGCTCATTCTCTTTATACCGTTTACATTCACCGTACACGTTCTAATAGATTCGCGTCCAGACCCTGTTGGACCACGAGAAACGTGTAGAGTATCGCTTTTCTGTAGTTGCTCGAGACAACGGCACCCCCCAACGAAGTGCCTCAGCCGTCGTCATTTTGTCCGTCCAAGATGTCAACGATAATGACCCTCGTTTCGAAGAACGAAGCTACAACGCCGTTGTATCAGAGAAGGATCCTCCAGGAACGCTTGTTCTCACGTTGACGGCTCACGATCCGGATCGTGACAATCGGCTACAGTATCACATCGCCAGTGGAAATCATCGGGACCGATTCGGTAAAAGTTTTTATCCATATATAGAAGATTTCACCTTCATGCACATACATATATATATATATATATATATATATATATATATATAAATATATATATATAATTAACCATATATTTGGTGTGGCTTTGATGACTTTGTTTCCATGCAAAGCTTCATTACTATACTGTGGGTTTAAAAAATTAGTTCTTTTAACTATGTAATATATGTACAGACAACATATGGTGTGCAGATCTGATTCAATAAAAGCAGTTTATTCAAAAATATATATAAAGAGTGGAGCAAAGCCATTTGACGCATTGAGAGTCATCAATTATTTGTGCTTTTATTTTGTTTTTGCCCTCTTGCTGCTGACGTAACATAGAGGGCCTCAAGCTACTTCGAGCTGTTAATAGATGTATCTAGAGGGCTGCATATATCATGTATAATAGATCACACAAGTAAACGAAAAAAGTTTATATTATATACTGATTTGTCTTTAATTGCCCCGCGTAATTGATAGAGCAAGCCCCCTTCGGGACACTTGGCGATCGAAAGCCGCTTGTAATAATAGTCAACAGATTGACTTATACAGCCACTTGTCTGAACAATATCTGCTGAGGTGCTAAGATATAATCAGCTAGTAGAGCTCTCCTTTCGATCACACATATTACTCTGGCCCAGTATCGATTGTTACATACATCGGAATCCTTGCCTTTTCATAGCCGTGGAATAATACTTCCTGTTATTGGGTTTCCACCAAAAAAATAATACCCAAAGTTCCTGGGTAAAATGGTCATCTGCACGTGGAATATATATGCAGATATTTTCTTTCGATACATAGAATAACCGTTCTATAATAGGAGAGTGAAAGCGTTAATCAAGGGTGCACCTAATGAAGATGTATATATAGTACGCGGCTGATAGGGATATCGGCTGCGATGTTTACCTCAAAACGCATTTAATAATATATGGATAGATCAAACCTGGCGTGTCTCTTGCCCGTTTTATATATCGACGGCTCTGATAGTGTCGTCTTGATCGATGCACGCGGTTCTATAGAGAGCAACTGTAAGTGACGACTACTATTAGTTACTATTATTAAAGGTTTTTAAAAGCTGTTCACTGGTGCCGTCGGAAATCAATTATCAGTCAACTGTAGAACAAAGATCCGAGAAGATGCAACTGTTTTTGTTTTTGTTGTTGTTGAGGTTTACTTGCTTGGCGCGGACATCTGTAAGAACTGTTGTATCTTGAGCGGTAAGGAAACGTCACAGCATTGTGACTTACGGTGAATAAACTCGATATCTTTGCCTGCCCGCCAAGATGGAAACGTTGGTCCGAAAACATTGGAATCTTGAGACCTATCTCTAGCGAATATAGCATATAAAGTACCATAAATTGGTGTATTTTTTTTTTAAAAGAAGCCTTCTTTAATTTTCTTGGTATCAAATTTTTCAAGAATTTTTTGCCATCTCAAAATCGACTCTTTTCTGCAGCTTCCTAAATGTGTACATTTTCTATCGTATCTTCTTTCGTCATACCCTAGGAATCATCTCGCAGAACGGGGCAGGCATCGTGTCGATTGCCCAGCCGCTAGACTACAAACTGGAAAACCGATTCGCTCTCTCTGTTGTCGTGTCAGATTCTGGCGGTCGAACAGACACCGCTTTGCTCAATATCAATGTTACAGGTAGGTCTGAGTAGGTTTATCACATCCGCCAAGACTAAATGACGCCTTGGTGCAAGAATGCACTACTAAAATTGCTCGTGTTTTCATTCGCCTGCTTACCGTTGGTCCGAATGGTGGTCAACTCGACGATGACAACAACGGTGATGCAAACAGATGCCAACAATCATCGACCAACCTTCGTAAAAACGCCTTATTCCGCCTCCATACCGGAGGATACGCCGGTCGGTACAACGGTACTTGTTATCGAGGCGCTTGACAATGACGTTGGTCACAATGCGCGCGTCACCTATACCTTAGAAGACGCCGTCAGTGCATTCAAGATCGAACCGGACACTGGGGCCGTCGTTACTTCGGCGCCGCTTGATCGCGAGTCGGTATCGGGATATACGCTTGTGGTCACCGCACAGGACGAAGGTCGACCCCCGCTATCAGACAGCACCAGTGTCGAGATTGAGATCATGGACGTCAATGACAACGCGCCAAAATTCGCAATGGGCTCCTATACGAGCGACGTATCGGAGGACGCCTTGATAGGCACGTCGATCATGCAAATATCGGCGTCCGATGAGGATCTTGGACTCAATGCCCAAGTCAGGTATGCAGCGGGAATATGTAAAATGAATGGTCTTTATGGAACTAGCGGAATATCACTGGTGGTCTACTCAGAAGCAGTATAAGATTTAGGTTTGACCAAAGAGAGGAGCTTCAGTGTGGTAGAAACCAAGTTACGCTTATTTCTGAGCGTTTCAAGTCGATTAATAAAGTGACATTTGAAGGGATGCAGGAAACATAAGCACATATATTAGAAAAGTGGTCTGACGTAAATGAAAACAGAAGCAGAACGAAGAAAAATTGTTTACCAAAATTCATAGCAAGACAGTACTGCGTGAATGATCTTATTTGTGGCGGCTATCATTTTTATTTAATGGACCATCAGTAATAAAGGTCTACAACAACATTTCAGGTACACTTTTACTGGAGGTAATGATGGACAAGGCGCATTCAGTATTGACCCGACTTCAGGACTGGTTAGAACGGCCAAGCATTTGGATCGTGAAGCTGTTGCGATGTACCAACTGAAAGCCGTTGCAGTTGACAGAGGTAGCCCTCAACTATCCAACACCGTACCCATTACCGTGTTCGTCCAGGACATCAATGACTCCCCACCGAGATTCGATTCGGACAAAATTCAAATATTCGTCCCGGAGAATGTACCTCTCGGCTCCGTCATTGGGACTATTGAAGCAAAGGACCCTGATGAAGGACCGAACGCTCAGGTCACCTACTCTATAGTTGGAGGACCGGATGCTGATAGCTTTTCATTGATCTCGAAGCCAGCTGGACCTGTGGACATTGTGAGTCGAGTGGAATTCGACTACGAAGGGCCGAAAAAACGTTACATCTTTTCAGTAAGAGCGTCGAGCCCACCGCTTCGAACCGATGCACAGGTCGAGATTTGGGTGACAGATATCAACGATAATGCCCCGGTTCTTAAAAACTTTCTCATAGTTTTCAACAACTTTAAGAATTTCTTCCCAACAGGACCTATTGGTAAGATTCCTGCCAACGATCCAGATGTGAGTGATGCCCTTCACTACAAGTTTACGTCCGGTAACCGGGCTAATCTCCTTGAGTTGAACGAGACTTCCGGAGAAATTAAGCTATCGCCAAATCTTAACACCGATGTGGCCATCGACGCTGATTTTCAAGTATCGGTTTTCGATGGCATTAACGAGGTATCTGCCACGTGCAAGCTTCAAGTTCGCTGGATATCCGAGGCAATGTTGAACAATTCGATCACCATACAAATGCAAGACATGACCGTCGAGCAGTTTCTTTCGCCATCGTTTGACTCGTTTATATCCGCCCTTAGTGCCGTTGTGCCCTGTCCCAAAGAGAATATCTTTCTATTCAATATACAACAAGACACTCCGGACATCCTCAACGTGTCATTTTCCGTCGTAAAAAATCGCGGCCATGAGGACCTCTACAGTTCGCAGTACATTCAAGAGCGAATGTACCTCGGCCGAAGTCTCTTATATAGACTGAGCGACATTGAAGTACTACCCTTTGATGACTATCCCTGTTCAACAGAGCCCTGCCTTAACTTTGAGAGATGTGAGCCGATCCTTAAGTTCAAGGCTGCTGGCGACTTCATCTCGTCCGACCGTATACTTTTCCGTCCAATTCAGCCTTCAAACACCTTCCAATGCATGTGCCCAGTAGGTTTCGCTGGAATGAAACACCGTTTCGACTGTGACACCGAGGTAAATTTCTGTTATTCAAGTCCCTGCCGAAATGGCGGGTATTGCGTACAAACCGAGGGTGGCTACTACTGTGAATGTGTGAACAATTTTCATGGCAAGAATTGTGAGGTAGCTGGCAAGACGAACTCGTCGTCATCGAGCGCAAATCACTGTACCGCCAGCGATTCAACTCTAGACGAAATGTGTCGCCTTCGGGGTCGAAGTTTCCCTCAACGAGGAACGTACGTGACGTTCCCGTCCCTGAAAAGACGACATCGATTCTCGATTAAGATCTCATTTGCTACTCCGAATCAGAACGGGCTGCTGCTTTACAACGGTCGATATAATGACAAAAATGACTTCATCGCCATGGAGCTCGTTGATGGTCAGTTGGTATTTAGCTACTCGACAGGGGATCAAGAAGCGACAGCGGTAACCGCGGTCAAGGCCGGTTTAAACGATGGAAATTGGCACACTGCGCACATCACATACCACGAAAGGATGGCTTCGCTTTCTGTCGATGGCTGTGACCCTGTAGTGGCCGAGAGGCTTGGAAATGACAATAACTATCAGGTATGCTCTTTACCCTAAAACGGAGTCGATACGAGCTAAGCTTGCCGATTTTTCTAAACAAGGTTAGTTAGTTTGCAAACGTACGTCACCTTTGTGCTTTTCGGTTTTCGGTTCAGCAAGTATGGTTTCCCTATAAGTTATGACATGACATGTAGCTGAGGGTTTCCTATTATACTACAGTAATGTTTGGATTAATCTGGTAGCAATTTTATCTCATAATACTTGAACAGATTTATGTCTACACGTTCATTTTCAGTGCGCGAGCCGAGGTCAACTCCGTCTCGATCATAGGTGCTCTGATCCGATGGAAAGTTGTTATCGTTTCCTAGACTTGACAGGGCCTCTTCAATTAGGCGGACTCCCTCAAATTATGTCAAGTTTTCCAGTACAGAATCGCGATTTTATTGGCTGCGTGCGTGATCTCTACATAGACCATGAGCTAATCGATTTAAATCAGTTTGTGGCAAATAATCTAACCATCGCTGGTTGCCCCTCCCGTCGAGGATTTTGTCACATTGACCCGTGTCTCAATGGAGCCACCTGCCAAGAGTCTTGGAGCGGGTATAGATGCATCTGCCCTGAAGGATATGGAGGATCGGAATGTCAAGATCGCGTCGAGCCTTATAGGTTAATAGTCGCAAGCTTAATTGCACAGAAGCATAATTGATATGACGGGTATAACAAAATAGAATTGAGTTTGCTAAATATGATATATGGGATCTTGAGTCGCATGTCCCTATGTAAGCAGATATGCTTTTCCAAATAGTAGATATGTATGTGTTTAATAGTATCTGATATATTACATAATATAAAGGCTTCATTCGGCGCAGGAACATTAAGTAATGTTATTCATTCTAGAACATTTGTGGTACGAGCACAGATCTGAAAACTTTGTGTCGGCATTACGCATAGGATATTTGATTTCTGACATAAACTCTCATTTAGGCTATCACGAGAATCAAGATCCCTTTCGGTACCTCATATCGAAGTGGCGTTTGTTACAGGATAATGAAATAGACGTTTACTGCGATACGTCGAACAGAGGTGGAGATTGGCGGTTTCGCCGTTTCTCTATACTGTGGTCGTTATCGTCGCGTACACTTCGAATGATAGTGCAATCAATGATTCCCGAAGCTTACATGTACTACGAACTGTGAAGAGCCACATAAAAAAGGGGCTTTCTTTAGGTCTATGGGGAACAGTGTCTTTTTATCATGTTTATATTGCGAATGATCGCCAGTCACGTTGAAAGACTATTACAGTGTTGTACGATACGTACCGGATCGGTATTTAATGTTATCTTAAATAGCTCGTATAGCATCAAAAAGTCACTTGATGGTCACAATTCACTTAACTTTCTGTTCATCAGCTTCGTTCGGTAGTGTAAAATAGATTGTTCTGATTCCTGCAAATCGTGGTCACGCGACGGCTTAGCCCTTAATTGTGTCACTGCATGAATATACACCTAGCCAGCACGACATAGGATGAGTGCGATGGTGTTAGAATACGTGAAGAATTAAAGACATCCTAAATGGTTGTAACATCCTGCATATTTCAAAACAAACGATATATTATCCACTCTTCCCCGTGCTATAATAAGGTATTGATCTATACTCTATTACTATTGCTATTATTATTATTTATTTTACATTTTTTAGTCAACCATCAGCATTTTTTCTATTTGTGCTTTTGTGTAGATTCCACGGCGACGGCCATTTGACGTTCAAGTCCTCTTTGCGTCCAATTGACATCCCGTGGAGCATTCGTCTATCTCTCCGAACAAAACATCGTCAAGGCCTTCTGCTTCTGATTGAGCTTGGTGGCAACGAAAAGCGTTTCGTCCTGCAAATTGTTAACGGGTCTGTCGTAGCAGCTGTTGACGAATCAAAGGTTTCTGTACTTCATTTATCCGTGGCTGATGGTGAGTGGCATCAGCTACATTTCTGGTGGAACGCAAATGTACTTGGGCTTTCCGTCGACGGCGATCACTATCGCTCAGAGCGTCACACCCATCAGAGTCCTGCGGGACATTACATTGGCGATGTGTGGGTTGGAGGCCATGAAAGCGGCGATTTCTCTCCTTTTCGCGGTTGCATCGAGAATATTCGCCTAGGTAATCAGAGGGATGCATACCGGGAGCCCTCGTCAGAACGAAATGTGTTCCGAGGCTGTGGCATACAGGATGCGTGCGCCTCAAATCCGTGCCCTGACAGCTCTACCTGTGAAAACACCTTCGAAGGCTTTCGATGCAACTGCAAACCTGGATTCGTTGGCAGCCAATGTTTGCCTATCTGTTCGCTGAATCCTTGCGAGCATAATACGACGTCGAGCTGTGTGACAGCCCCTTCGAGCCAACGAGGATATCAGTGTTTGTGTGACGCTAAACATTACGGAGAACGTTGCGAGATGACGATGATTGAGCACTGCCCGGCAAATTGGTGGGGTACACCGCCATTCTGTGGACCATGCCAATGTGACGTACATAAAGGGTACTCGTCGAATTGTGATAAGACAACGGGCGATTGTGTATGCGAAGAAAATTACTATTTTGCCCCGGAGCAAGGAACATGTTTGCCATGTAATTGCTACGCGGCTGGATCGCACGGGCCGCAGTGCGATTCATCGGGAGGCCAGTGCCGTTGCCGAGAGGGCGTCATTGGAAAAAACTGTGACTGCTGCTCGAATGAATTCGCCGAAGTCACGCTACGCGGCTGCGAAGTCATCTACGATGGATGTCCCCGTGCGAGGCATTCGCGTGTCTGGTGGCCTCGTACGTCCCTCGGATCTGAAGCGTTGAGTGTCTGTCCGGCGTTAGCACAAGGCAAATGCTCGAGATTCTGCGATCCGAACGACGGGTGGCAGGCACCTGATCTATTTCACTGCCTTTCTGATCCATTAGGACCACTTGCTGAAGAGTTGGCTCTCATTGAGAAATCCAATATACAACTTCGAGCCCACAATTCACGAAGACTAGCGAGGGAATTGCATGAAGCACTACAACGTGCTCTGGAGAACAATATGAACGAACTTTACGGAAGCGATGTTCGCACGGTGTCACAGGCACTGTCTTTGATTTTCGAATTCGAAGCTCAACAGGGCGGTTTTAACCTCAGCCATACACAAGACCGGCACTTCGTAAGATATCTTATGCATTCACTTGCCACGGTAGCTGATGCACGATTGGCACCTTTGTGGCAACGACTTCCGGTGACGATGCGGCTGGAGCGGCTTCTTGCCCGTGTGGAAGCGTACTCTCGACGATTGCTAGCCAATATGGAGGATACATTCACCGCGCCGTTTCTGCTCGGATTCAACGATAACACGTTTTTTAGTGTTGACCATGCATCTCATGCCGAACTACACGTCGATAACACAACATCGTCATACGTGTACTCGATAACGACTGGTCGGAAATCGCTTCCATTGATCCGGATGCCCAAGTTCAATAATATACCCATTCAGAAGCTGCCGGCATGGATGCCTCGAGTTGGAATACCATTGTCGGCGCTGAGTTTCGACACATACGGAAGTGATAGCAAAGCCCTGTTTTCTGTAGCGGCGTTTCGTGACGCCAGTTCTTTGTATCCACTGATGTACGACTCGACCATTAAGTGAGTAGACTTCAGAGCTAACTTGATATTTTGCCACACAATATAATAGCTCTCTTGTAACGTATGCCCTAAAATTAAGTCGGTGCATTTAATTCTAGTGAAAAAAGTCACGAAGTGTAAAAAGAAAGTGCGAAAAATAATGTGTAATCTAGCTATGCTTGGTTACGTATTTATGCAATACGTTGTGGAAATCCTTTGCGCAATGATGTGCGTGTGTCGTTGTGATCATTTCAGTCATAATCTTGGCGTGTCCATAAGCAGTGCTGTCATCTCCGTCTCAGTGGCCAAAAGTGACTCGAAATTCTCGCTTCTTGAACAGCTCAATGGTGAAAGCCGAGTCCACATTTCGTTTCCCGTTTTACACGGCAGGTTTCCCAGAAACCCACAGGTCGGTTATGTCTAGTAACAAAGTTAACTTTTTGAACCTTACAACGATTATTGCATACGAAATGTAACTGCGAAGGTTTTTTAAGAGTCTTTATTTGACATCTATATATATATATATATATAATAAAATTATTTTTCCAATGCGTCTAGGGACTTTAGCCCCGCCCTGTATATATCTACCCATCTAACATTATTGTCGGCTACCTTTTGTCGTTCTGTTTTTTCGTATAGTGCGTCTTCTGGTACGTGTCTTCAGCAACCGGTTACGGGAAATGGTCTGCTCGGGGCTGCCGTGTAGAGGGCTTTGAGCCACTGAGGGTCAATTGCTCCTGCGACCATCTGTCGATGTTTGCCGTCCTTACGGAAGATAGCTATACTCTGGCTAGGACACAGATCTCATACAGCCAGGAGCTGTCGGCGAGTGTGGCCCTTATATTCTCCATTGGTACGTGTAGGCTCATCCTTCTTTACGAAGGACGAAATGACTGAGTACTAGTTAATAATTTAGCGACAGTGCGGAGCAAACTGTTATTATAAAACGATACAGGATTTTGCTTCATGAGCAAACATTCAGACTACAGAAATGTCTCAGCCGCGATTATGTTGTGTGTACTACGAGCTTGCCACTAACGAATAATATCATCGTCACAAGTACACAGTTGTACTTACAATCAAATCTTCATTAAAAACCCTTTATTAAACATTACGTGAATTGGTCTTTCAGCCCTTCTAACAACAACTGCGGCTCTTTTAATCGCTTTGACGATTGCATCAGGAGGGTATTCAACGAATTCACACGCCATCCACGTTAATGTCATCATATGCTTGCTTCTCGTAGACCTCATCTCGTTGGTGGGCATAGGGTAAGATACGTCATGTATACGTTCTGTCGTCTGGTCCATGAAGCTTTCTTGATTGCAACCTACTCGTTATTCTTGATTCTTACTTAGCATCTTCAACGGCTAATTTCGCCGAAGAGCAACTATCGACTCATATGGGACTGGTACCCTGATTGTTTGACTTTTTTTTTTGCTTGAAAATACCCTCTATAGGTCACATGCACCGGCCTCGGCATCAGGGTGTCGCATGGTCGCCATTGGAGTACACTTTGCGTGGCTAGCTGTGTTCTCCTGGATCCTGGTCGATCTCCTGCACATCTACCGAATGCTAACCGAAATGAAAGATGTCAATCACGGTTCTATGAAGTTTTACTTCTCACTAGCGTACGGAGCTCCGGCCTTAATCGTAGCGCTAACACTCGGCATTCGATCTGACCTCTACGCTGGGTACAACTTGTAAGCACCGCAGTTATGTATATATACATATGAACTTGCATAGTTATATGTTAACAATGTCTGCAAAACATGGATTTTATCGCCCCGCTTGCGATACACAGATATACCTAGATTGAAGACGCGCTTGTACATAGTACAGCAGTTTAGCTTTTTAAAGTGGAAGTTTCAATAATGTTCACGGGTGCCGGCATATTTATACGCTCACACGAGCTGAGTAAAAATGGATACGATAGTAATGAATAGTTTGAATGTAGGTCATCTATGATTCATGGTTTGCAGTGCAGCGCGCACGCAAGAACGCGCCATTGCAATCAACGCTCTTGATTGATAATTAATTAAGATAATGTCATTTGTATTTGTTTCCCGTCATTTTAGCTGCTGGTTATCTGCGGCCTCATCGTTAGTATGGTCCCAAGCCGGGCCTGTTGCTGCTTTCGTAGGCGGAGCACTGCTCTTGGCAGCTGCTTCGGTAATGGCTTCGGTGAGAGTTCAAGGAGTTGAACTTATCTCAGACCTCGGAAATATTCGCTTCCTTCTCTGGCTAGCCATGGCTCAGTTACCTATCATAACATTTTTCTGGTGAGCTCCTTATTAATTTATATAATACGCTGGGCCGGCAGGTCAGAATAAACAAAAACGTGCATACATCTTTATCATTACACATTCGTACTTTATCATACTATAAACACATTCCACATTGAAAACATTATAGAAACTAGCAACAATTGGTGAAACCCTTAAACTAACTGTACTAGATACTTATATAAAACCTACTTTTTGCATACTGCGCTTATCCTCACTAGGTCCATCCATTAAAGGAGGCATAACTATTTAGGATTCGCGTGCTTTAATGCCTGATGCTCATCTTTTTGAGTGTATTGACATAATAATCGTGAACTTACAATTATTTGGTAATTAGCTGGTTTCAGCCTTGTGTAAAAGGTTACCATGCCGTTAAACAGGACTGTTGCAGGACCCCCATATAAGGTCAATAAGACGAACCACCACTGGACCTTCTAATAGGAGGCGGGCTTTTAATGCTATATCGAATAATTATTCTGTAGACTTGTTCAAGTGTAATAAAATTCAAAAATGTTAAAAATCGTTTAGGACAACAATACTATCTCGAATATTGCGTTCCTGTCCTTAATTTCTGATCAGGCTGAGTTCTATGTTCGCCTCTGCTGGTTCTATCTACGGCTGGTTAATGTTCAGTGTATGCACCCCTCTCGCCGCAATAGCGGTATTTCTTTGCCAATGCATTCTAAATGCTCGAGTAAGGCAAAACCTTTGGGAAATGCTTCGCGGTCGGCGGAAGTGTCTGCTGGCGTACTATGGAAGTGGTGGTGGGGGAGCTGGACTCTCAACCTCGGTAAGATAAATGCAGAGCCTTTTCTTAGCCTATTTTCGTTCAGGTCCAAGAATTATTTCACGATATTTTCATAGATGTTTTGTATGGATTTGCAACATACAATTAATTAGAGAAAAAGCAGATTGAAGATAGGGATAGATTTATAGGGATTTATATTCGTCGCACTGATAGCTTACGACTTTTTTTTTGCTCTCCTCCCACCCTATTATGGCTGCAGCGTTCCGCTTTGTCTTACGGCGGTCGTGTCGGAGGACTGACTGACATGAGCCTTCAGGGCACCTTACAGAGGAGGCATGTCATAATGAGAGCCTACTCCACCACCTCTAGATCTACTACGCACAGGTACGGATTACGAACGGTATGCTAAACCATACCATCACCGTTTAACGTTTACCATTTTAAGATTCTTTTAGGTAAATGTTTATTGGACTATTTAAACAGTTATTTAATACTCTTATTTGACTAACGGAGCCAATTAAAGCCCCGAATCGTTCAGTGCACATACATATATACATATATATATTTTCTTTTCAATACAGAATAATCGTTCTATAGAGAGTCAACAAATAACGACTACTCTCGTAATCTCGTGTTAATCAAGAGCGTGCTTAATGAATATGTGAAGCTGAATTTTACTTCCTAGTGTATGTCCATTACCTTACACGTAGCGTTATTATTTCTGTTTTCGATGAACGCAGATCTTCGTCGTTTGCATCAACGGTAACTGGTCAACCTGTCCGCGATGGCGGACGCTGTAAGAGGGCTAACAAAAACAATCGTCGAAGGAGCCGAGACGATCGGGATTCGGTCAGTGAAGGCAGTGGTTCGCGAGGATCCCGCGGATCAGAATTCAACAAATACAATTCACATGAAGATCTTCACTCCGTCGATCAGGAATCAATGGACCTCGCTTCAAGCCATTCATCCGACAAGGACACTATTACTTATACCGAAGAGAATGGAGGAGGTCCAAGGCAAGACTACTCCGATTCGGAGGCTGATGACCAGAGTGAGGCCTTCGATGAGGATACAGTAAGGCTTCATCGAGAGCAAGCAGGCTCAGGTGTCCTGCATCATCAGGGGCATCACGAACACCAAGCAATGCCCCATTCACAGCATCCATTGCACCCCTCATCTCTGCAGCAGCAACAACAGCATGCCGGTATAGTGTACGGTATGGGCATACATGACGGGGCCGGTTCCGGCGGTCAGTACAGCCCGACGCAGGATGAAGACGCTGGTCAGTATGGGGGGCAGCATCCACACAACCAACGTCCGTATAGCGGAATGAGCGGAGGCATCGGAGCTGGTGCCGGAATCGGAGGGGTGAATGCGATGGGGCACCGAGATGATGGCGCTGCCTATACAGGTGCCATGTCGCTTTCTAGGACAGCGACTCTGCCGCTTGCCACCAGGATGCTTCTAAGTGACAGTCCAACAATGTCTCAAAGTCAGCCTGGTTCAACGTCGCTAGATACTCGAGGTACGTTTAGTAGACATTTCATTTTCCTTCGGGTGTTGACGCAACGATTTGTATCAATTAGCTGGCAGAAGTACGTATAAGAATGCTGGCATAATAATCGCTATGGAATTAACGAATATTAGTAGCTAGTATTACTTAATCTTAGTAGCTGACTGTACGATAGATATACAACGCGTAGTCTTGATTGCGTGTAGTGGTACCGTGTATGCCTAGAAATGACTTAGTTTTGTTTGAGAGCAAGTCTAATAGACACAATCGTAGTGTTGCAGAAGGGCCGTCATCTACAGCACTATTGTCTAACTAACAAACAGTAGAACTGGATGTATACTCTAAACATCCATTTGCATACACAATGCTTAAAAAACTGCGTTCACAGCAGTTTTTTTTTGCGGCAAAAACAACGCTAAAAACAATCGCGGTTGTGCTCTGTTCATGGTTCTGCTTGTAGCGGCCCCTGCGATTGGAAGAGGAGGCGGGACCACGGAGAGCCTCACAAGTCCGGGCCAAGATGTCGAATTCATCGACGAATTTTCAGCCTCTCCGGACAACAATACGACAGCTACGGGGTAAGCGAAAGGCAAATTTCGGTAGTAATGGTTGGTGGCTGCCTCCACTGGAAGATTACAGAAATGAACCTTCTGTTTCTCGCTATAGATATGCAGAGTAGAGACAGAGAATTGCCCCCTGTTGCCAGATCGCGCATAAATGTCTTCATGTGTCCAACATAAACAGGCATACCATATTGACAGCAAGCTAATACTTTTTGCACATGTTAAAACTGTCACTTTTGTTTCTGTTTGCTTTGCAGAGGCGACGAGACATCCGTATGAAACAAGATCAATAGGCCTTTTTCGAAGTAGACATACATTTAGATCTATGGTCGAAATAGAAGATATCTATTTCTATGTGACTGCCATTTTGTAAATAAGCTTAGTAAGCAGAAGGTCGACTGAATCCAAATGACTTTTGTCTTATATATATATATATATATATATATATATATATATATATAGATATATATATATATAAAATTACAATGGCCTAGGTGCAGTTTTACAGAATATCGTAATCTGCATGAAAAACAAGGGATCTATTTGTAACACTACTTTCAGATGTTAAACAGATTTAACGCTATATACATATATATATAGAAAAGAGAGAGATTTATTATTGTACAGCAGGGCGCAATTGAAAATGCTAAAGTATTTTTTTAGGTGCTGAGTATATTTTTCCAGGCAGAGAGAATCTATCTAGAAACGCAAAGCGCTGCCATTATTAGCTATCGTGATATATAATGTCACTTGTATCTGGGGGAAAAGGCGTTGGCATGTTCGTTCAAAAGTAAGTTCTTTAGGTAGCATGTAATGAAATGGCAAATTGAGGGTGAACGATTCACAAACGATGTAACAACTTATTCGTAACGTCATCCTAATATGTTGATTTTATTAACATGGTTTATTTTGTTATGGTTTTATCTGAGGCAGATTTTTTCCCCATTTTTGTCTTACCTGTTATAGCAGGTGGCTAGAGTTTCTTTGAAACAAAAAGTAGTAAAAACAGAGACTTAGTGAACAAAACGTAACTTCAAAGGTTGACTGTCACATAAAAGCGTATACTTTCTAGGGATTTTTAGGATTTAGGATTCCCTAGTGAGCGCTTTGCTTCCATTTTCATACCTTGTTTTTCTATTCTAGTACAATCCACTTCTGATGAATTCCCCTGCTAAGGATACCTCTTATGTGTTTTTTTTCCAGTAAACAATATATCAGTATGTTTAGATCATTCCTTTATGAACGCGTAGGTCATTCTGATAGACGTCTTTATTTAATAAAATGCACAAATTGCACTTATCTTTCTATCTCGGATGTGGATCACGCAGATAGAAATCTCAGTTGTTTAACATAGAAATTAATGTTTATTTACAATGCGTATGTGTATGTCCGTTTTTTAGCTGTATACGTGAATATGTTTTTAGTGTAATTCCAATTGTTTCCCTTTTGTAAATCATAATTCGGCTGAGACCGCTTAATATGTTTGTATCAAACAAGCGAACGTGTGTATCCTCGGTTATCACTACAAGTCGGCGATAATACTGATGGTTTCACGTATTTTTTTTTTTTTTTATAATTTTGTCTGTTTTTTTTTTTGTATATTTGTAGTGACACGCTCTGGCGGACCGTGTAACGAAAATATACGTTATCTGCCAAATCCTGCTTTCTTTCCTTTATTTGTTTACATTTTTTTCGGAAGATAACTTATTTCTACATGACTTAAAGGTGAGAGTGGGCCGTTTCCGTAAGTTAAATTAAAACTGTTTCGCCCCAACTCACCTAGAATATGTCAGATCTCAGCAAGATAAGCAACAAAACATCTGTCCAGTTTATGTGTGCTGATTATGGAACACAAACAATGTTATACGAGTTCATATTGTGGTTTAATCTTGGGAAAAACTTTAACTAATTATAATAGATCGAGTAGGTGTTTTGGAATCAAATAAGAAACGTCACAATCCATACGCTAAATTTGCAATTTAATATTAAGGTATCTTTTTTCTGTAATATACAATACACGTACAATTTTTGGGCTGTATATGACTATAAGTTAATAAATAATTGGCGGACGCTAAATAAGCTACAGGAGGATGAAGATCACATATGGACTTACCATTAACAGTCGATCGTACGTTTCGTAGAGATTCTTTTGTAGAGGACAAGTTGATTTTTTAAAAAATATTTTTTGTCGGCGCACATGTCTAAGAGTCATCCACAATCATACTGGCAACAACATGATGTCCTGATGCGTGTCACAAGTAGTGATATATAGTTGTGTATATAAAAAAAAAATTAATGAATATGATGATTCTTATAATTATGCAGTAATTGACTTTTAGCACTTTTAAAGTGTATGAAAAATATGTACATGTAAAAACGTGAATAAATAGATATATAAACAATTATAATTTATATAACTGAATGGTAACGTTTTCGTTAATTCATTTTATTATCAATATAATAGTCGCTTGCTGCTATATTAAATAGATATTAAGTCTATAAATCAAAATGTTACTTGACCATTAATTTGCTCTCTCAACACTAATCAGAATAGCCAATATCTTCCTATATGACAAAGTAGTCCCTTTGTCACGAAACGAAATCTGTCTATATGCTTGGGTTCGAACCTCGACCGTGTTTAATATTAGCAGGCCAATGCGTTACCCACCATGCTATCACAGGGACACTGGGAATGTACCTAACTGGTGGAAAGTGTATCAAGGCATGAACGTAAGCTTAAGAGGACGCGGAATAGCTCTGAGGAAACAGGCTAAGTACTAAGAGTTACAATAGATACAAGTCTTTTAAGACTCACGGCTCATGTAAAATATGTGATCGGCAAAGCAATGAACTAGCGGCCGACCTGGCCCGCACAATGTCAAAAATAGGAGGAACACAGATGGGTATTAAAAACTATTGGCCTCATTGGCTAAGTCAGTCGTCAGCTTACCCGCTATGCGCAGATATGGCTCTGTGCTTCAGAAAAGTGGAGTTGACCCCTTTCCCTCCCGAATATATTTACCCTCAGAGTGGTTCGAGCCTTTAAGACTGTCTCTGCTGCCGTTACCGTAATGCTGGCCAGAACGTTCTCGTGGTCCATACCGACCGTGTGCTACATAGATCTGACTGCTGCAAAGAAGAGCGCAGTCGAGAAGTAACAGGATGGATGGACATGGGCTCGATCAGGACAAACATCGGTACGCTGCACCAGGTTACTGGTCCCGAACATGCAAACCTGGTTCAACAGGTCTCATGGCAGGTTAACGTATTACATTATTCGGATGCTGACCAGACACCTATCAGTTCCAGACATATATGGCAGACATAGGGAAACTGCAGACACCTGTGTCCTGTGAAACTTTAAAACAGTAAACGGAACAGAGTATCCAGTACTGCGCTACTATGGCCTTAGGCTTAAAAGGAAGATAATATTCACACAGGCAGACTCACGTTGGATGGAGAATTGGCCTAGAGGACGTTGGTGTGACACAAGGGTTAACAGCCGACATCAAGATACTTAGAGAGAATTATGAAAGAAATTGTGAAGAAAATTCTAGATGAGAGAAAAAGTAAAATACTTAGTCCCAAACCGGTCGGGTGAATAAAAAGAAGCGACTCGTCCACTAAACGGCTGAATTAAAGCCTCGGATAAAAGCATGGTAAAATTGATGTGATTATTAGGACATGATCATGTACTAGTCTTGCCCTAAAATCGTATGGTTAGCTATTTAACCCACATTTCTTTATCTCACACACCGAAAAGGGCTCAGAATCGAAACGCGAAGTGATCTAATCTAGGATGATATGTGAGAAATTTTCCCTCATCATTATAAAGAATGAGGTGACACTCCTATGTGGGCTTCGTTTCGTTTTGGTAAGGCTTAGCCGTCTTAACCAATGCTTAGAACTAAGGCAGATAGCATAAAACGTAAGACCTAATATTCAGGTAGTCGGATTGTCGTAGACCTAAAGTTTATTTAGCCTTAGATTTGCACAGATCATCCTTGTTATGTCACTTGTTACTACTACTATTTGAGGTAGTAGCTGCTCGGGGTCGAAGCTGATAACATGGCACATTTGCTCAAACTATGATGGTATCCAGTGGAGCTAAACGAGTGTGCGTCGTACTTCTCAAACAAAGGGTTCTCGTAAGATGGTGCAGTGGTATTACCTTCTTACTAAACTAGCGTAAGCACACTATTTCGCGCTAACAGGAGCCAGGTGCATGAAACAATGCTTAGCGAAGACAAAGGCGTCGGATGCAAAATTCAAAGAAGCTTGCTCAAACGTGGAGAGCTTCCTGACCGAATATTTGATGGAATTGCCAACGGGAATACATTATCGCTGAAGAGTTTCGTACATAGCAGTGGATTACTATGTGACAGGATCGTTCTTTGAAGGAGCCTTAATGCCAGACTGGTGAAAGCTTTCTTGATTCCTGTAGATGTTGAAAACTCACGTATCATTTTGGGTATGGTCCATTTTAAAATCGCTAATACTAACTTGAACATAACTGCAATCCCATGAATGGGCTTGCAAAAAGATCTTCAACTCGATCTGTTTTACGACGTGTCCAAGATAAGGTGGACGATACAATGAATTGGTACAATCGAGTTCTCAGTAACTTAATCGGTAGAAAAATGATCACTCGAAAGGAAAGCGGAAAAAATCCAGACACGATTTTCATTGAATGTATGTTTAACAAGAACAATTACTAACTACAATATAAACGCGATTAATCATAATTAATCGCGTTTATATTTCGTATATAAGATGCTAAAAAAGAACAAAGAAAAATAAATAATACTTTTGAAAGAGGGCTTTTATGGAAATAAGCAAAGGCTTTCGCCTTTGCTACCACTATACTGATACTATAATAAAAACAAAACGAGCTCTGTCACAGTGCTGCCTGTTATATTTTGTATTGCTAAGAAACGATTTTTTTTTTTGCTTCGACTGGAAGGATTTGAGCCAAGACTAAACAAGTGCAATCACGGGCACCATGTGTACGATATAAGTAGCAACCAATGCAAATTACCTGTGACGGGTTTTCGATTCGCGATGTTTATCCATTGCAAAAAATAGAGTAGCACTAGTTAAACCCGCAAAAAAACCAGTGGTAAAATGTTGGTCCTTAGTCCATGACCGACCTTCAGCCTGGAGCGTCTCGTAATTTCCAATTCTGAGGTCTCTACTACTGGAATTGTGGGATGCGCGCACTCTGTGTCGTGGCCACGTATTTTCCATGTGCATCGCGGCACCCTTGGCATAGAATGGCATTTTTCCTTATATAAAAAGCGTGCCCCAGGTCTTGGTCGTCATTCACGTTGTGCAGATAAATACTCTTGTCTTAGGAAGATACCGGAAAAGGGAATTTCCCGATCGTCGAATAGTAACACTAAAAATTAGTAAATCAGCTAGAACGAACCAATCTCTATTGCAGGAACAAAGAGCTTAATTTTGAATATACAACCCATCAATGCCTTTTCAATTAGGAAAAATAAGTTCTTTTCTAGCGGTTCGAAAGAAAAGCGTACAGAACAATAGTATTTTTTGGGCGATATACGAAGACCTTTACTAGAGGTAACGACAAACTTGTCTGCATTAGGCACAACATTCTACTTTAGGGTTAATTTCGGAGCGGTTCAGTTCGAACAATCAAGGGAACATAGAAGCTTCAGCAAATTTTCTTAGAGCTTTACCGCAAAAAGTTCGAAGGCATGCAGTTGTCATGCAGTTGGCACGAGAGAACACCGTTTGTGCAGATGATTCAAGGCATATGAATTCGATGTTGTAAGAAGATCCTTCAATTGTATCTTCTGAGCAACCATTGTCAAACCAATAATACCTTGAATAATTACAATTAAAATACCGCTGAACAAAAAAGGCTCTTATCGTTGCTTGAACTGATATGAGACGTCCTACTAGAAGACGTTATCAGGTAGTCCTTAAAATGATCTTTCCCCTTATCTATCTACAACATATCACGATAACACATTATCACGACAATTCTCTTGAAGTGAAATAATAGAAGTCCTCGCTTTATTGATAGCTGACCTTCAAAAGTACCAAGCACTGAAGTCAATGTCCACATATTCAATTCCTACGCGTTGCTTTTTTGATTGGGCGACAGAAGACTGCTGACTAGAATATCATCAGAACACAGCAGGGCCTTACGTTCGGCCGAATTCAGATATGCACCGTCTGTGTCGGTTGCTATAGCATATTGTGAGTAGTTTCTACTGGTTCTTCTGTTCTCTATCTCTTTTTCCGAAACGTCGAATCTCTTGACGTAAGCGTCTGAGCTTACGCGGTTCAAACGCCAACATGCAATTAAAAGGAAAAACGTATTCATACAAAGCACGAATTCTCTAGAACAGTCGTTAAATACTCTCTATTGCAGTGGGCCGTGACTCTGGCCTGCCCTGAGTTTGTTTACTTTAGAAGCGTCAGACAAATAACGCCACAATGCGAAGTTGTGGAAATAGGAATCTTCGAAGATGTAGTGTTCACATTTCGGAAAGTGCGCCAGAATAGATAGCTTGAGGGAGAACTGGCAATGAAACCGCCGAAGTGAGAAATTGCGCCTCAATAAACCCTGAAGCAAAAATGACATGCCGTCTGTTTTTTGAGCGTTCAACTCGCGGTTAGGTGCTCACGCAAGCAGCAATTTCCGTCACTAGTAAGACATACCGCTTTAGGGCCTTGTTTTGCTGCGAGCGTTTCCTGGCCGATGTACGCTCCGAGCTGTGAACGAGATCAGAAAGGAGTCGTCAGAAAGCATCGAGTTGAAATACTTAGTGAAGTCAATGCGAATCGAAAAGAACGAACACAAACGGAAATAGCACCGAACGGGGAAAAGACTGCGAAAGTTCCGGTTAATAGTGGGTTGACGGCTATGTATATACACCGTCATAGCCATCTGCATTAACCGTCGATGCTTAAGTCACACAAACGCCGACTGCTAGGTAAATAGAGAATACGACTGTGGGGTACGAGCACCAGATATTTTGGGAGGTATATTTACAAGCATCGAAAGCTACGTTAGAAACTCCATTGGGCGCCGAAACAGGCGTTCCAGACGATTCCATGTACTTAAATAGAGGTGAATCATCAAATTAGGATTCGCGTTTAGCTGAGGGTCTTTGAATTATTAAAGGCTCATTAACTGAAGGAAACTGAATTATTTAAGCATGAAGGCGAATGCAAAAGCAGTCCCTTATGCAATCCAAACAACACGAAGATAGGAAAGAAAAATTGTTTTTTGAAGATTCGTTGCTAAAAACAGGACAGTGCCTTGAACCTTTAAACTGCTTTACGAGTCAACAAAAGCCTGTGTCGTTCATAAATGATAAACATATAGCCAAAAAAACAG